TTAGAGTAATTCCATGTCAAATCATCCAGAGATTTTACAATTTGAAACCATGATATCTTGGATTGATTTGATTTTCACACCATAGTTAAATATGATCAAGTTATACTACTTCCCCAAATTTCAAAAGCATAACTTAAATACTTTTCAAGTTATCATAGTTTAAAGATTTTGCTTATCTCAGCAATTTTCGAATTAAAAAAGGCGTGGCCATTCAAGCCGTCACTCTCTAAATGCTTATAGCTCCTGTTTTATAAATGAGCTGTAGCTAAAAATGAGTATCTAACCATTTCTGAGGCTGTCGATTCCATAAATCAAGTCAATTTTATCAGTGGGAGTAGAGGAAAGATGTTACAAAGGTGTTTACTAATTTGCACGGTAAAGCTAACCCCCTGTTTTTTGATTGCAAGTTTTGGGGTGTAGCCAGGTGACTATGAAGGTTAAATTTCAATTTTTGCAAAGTTTAAAGGTTATCCTTTAATTTGATGTGTAGATGATCAATTGTATTCATTCTGAGACAAAGTTATGTCTCATTGAAGTTTAAAGCCTTTTTAAGTATTAAGCACGCTTACAAGATAGACTGCCTGCATTGATGAATAAGAAGTATATGCGTAAATTTAAATATTCCAATCAATATTTCTATTTGGCTGTTGTCCTAGTAATTAATTTATTCTTTCAGTATCTGTTGCATTTAGAATGTACATACGACCAGAAAATGTAGTTGGTGCTTGTAAACTACATAAAATCTCCGAAAGAGGAACCCAACAGACATCATCTTTAGCTGGCCAATGCACTGTTGTTGTAGGTCCATGTGGATGCATGAACCTTATTCTAGCATCTTTCATTTCTTCATCAATGTCCTCTATTAGGCCAATCCACCAGAACCCATCATATGTGCAAGCAACGAATTGCATTGGCTGGAAAACCTCTAGAACTGGCATGTCTTTGAATGCATACTCCCCACAGTACTCATTATCTTCACTGACACGCTTATACCTGACAGCCATTTCTCTATTTGGCACTGGCTCATAAAAATGGTAGCTACGAGTGCCAGGTACAGTGGAGCCCTCCTTATATCTTTTCTCAAGCTGCTCCCTGATAGGTACCATTTGCTCTTTTGTCACTTTATGAAAGGAAATGGACTTGATGTTGGAAGAGCAGAAGCTGGACATTGAATCTAGGCCTAAGATTTGGTCAGTTATAGGCCTTTGCAGACTGGCTCTTGCAGTAAGGCGCTTAACTGTTCCTCCAATACCATCGCATGGAGACTTTCCGTGACTAGTAGCGAAAAAAGTCCAGTCAGCTGATAACAGAAAGTCATCATGGTGAAAGCACAAGTTCAAAAAATTTTTATAGTTCTTGTACTGCTTTGCACATCCATCCGAATAATAATGGACAAAAGTAACCAATGGATGGGTCTCCTTTATAAACTCTGTAGTTAATCGCTGCACCTCATGAACAAAACATGTATCGTGATTCATGTCATCTGAGAGTATGCAGAGAGAGGATTCCTTTAGTGTGCCGTCACCACCCATAACGTAGATTACAACAGGGTGCAAAGTACACTGTAGGTTGTTCCAATGAAAACTTTGCACCTCATCTTGCACAACAAATTGATAGTTCTCTGCAAAGTCAATCAATACTATACACTCATTGGCAGCTAGCTCCATTTTTTTCTTTTTAAGAGCTTGCCCTTGGCTCTTTGCAATAAATGAATGACATGTGAGGATATCAATTGAGTTGACTAGCATCTCTGTGTAAGAAGCAGAATCTGCTGACTGTTTAATTATGGTTGGTCTGTCAGTGCTTTGCCACTGACTAAATGTCACTTCATAAACTTCAAGTCCTGCCAACTTTTCTTCAACAAAGGTTTGTAGTGCTACAACTCCAGGGCAGTCCTTGCAACGATGAACCATGCATTCTTTGCTGTCAACATTACAAACCACAATTTTCATCAGATCCTTGTAAGTTAATTCCCATCCAATAGCGGCAACTAAAAGCATAGCATTCTGATGATAAGTGCAAACACAAACAGAGTGTGCACCTGATGATCCAACTGTGACACACCACTTAGGTCTCAAACTGAAAAATTTAGAAAACCCAATTTTGAGTGCTGGGTTTTTTTCTTTGAAAGCAACATACAATTCATTCAGATTGGATAGCAAGAGTCTTTTTTGCTTGTGCTCATTTTTGGCAATGCTTACATTATCCTTCTTTCCTGGAAGCAATTGTGAGAATTCATCATCCTCAAATAATGACTTTACAAGTTCCTCTGTTTAGTCAGGCAATTTTTTCCCCTTCTTTGACTCAGGAATGGCAAGTATTCCTTTCTCCTTCTTTACAGATCTTGCAGTTTTAAAAAGGTACTCAGAAACTCCAAAAAACTCTACAACCTTTGCTCTTGGCCATAAGTCAGGGGCTAAAGTCAAGATTTGGATTTTCTCCCTGTATCCAGAGCAAATAATGTTTTCTTTTAAGTTGTATAAAAGCTCATCATAGTTTTTAGCTTTATCTGATTCTTCTTTTTTAAGGGAAATCTCAGGTTCCTGTAGTGATAGCATTTGTAGGACATCAACTCCAATCATCAACTCCAATAACTTTCGCTGCTTTTGCAGTTTTTCTTTTGCTACTGATACCTTTCGACTCTTAGGTAAGCTGTGTAATTTAATTGGGGATACCCCTGCAAGTTCAAAACTTGTTTCTAACCTTTCTCTAGATGATAGTTCAAAATCCTCCTCCTCTTTTGAAGTAGGGTCTGGATCTTCTGGTTGTAGAGGTTTTCCCTCTCTGGACTCTGTCTTTTCTTCAGATATCACCATTTCATCGCAGTTTCTACACAGCTTTGAACCTGGTACAACAGAAATACCTTTGTCTTTCAACTGCTTAGCCAGCTCCAGTTTTAAAGTGAGGCTGCCAACAGCTTTCTTTTTGTGCTTTTTAAACAAGTTGCAGCATTTCTTTTCTTTTTCTTCATACTTTGTCCTGAACACATATTCGTGATGAAGGCATATAGTACCTTCAAATTTACAATCAACTTTGTCCAGCAAACCAGCTCTCCACAGGTAGACCTCGCAACTATCATCAGAAAGTTCAGATAAACTCTTCAAACCTGTTTGTCTGCTGTATGAATGTTTATGGCACTCATCCTCCAGTAATAATCCAAAAGTACATTTAGCTTCCATTTTGCAACACAACTTCTCTACAACTAGCCTGGCAACACCCAAATATTTGTGTTAAGGAAGGAATTATCAAGGAAGTGCTATTAAGTTTCAGGAAGTGTCCAGTAACACATATATTTAATCAGCATTGTTCTATTGCATTCCCATACCACAAAATGTTCAACTGTCCCCTAGTTACACTCAAACACTTTGAGTGTTTTTAAACAGAATAATAAATTGATACGTGTTTCTTTTACATGCCTAGTTACCAAGTTAAATTTGCTGTTAAATTCTAAGTTAACGTCATAGTCACCTGGCTACACCCCAAAACTTGCAATCAAGAACAGGGTGTGAGCTTTACCGTGCAAATTAGCAAACATCTTTGTAACATCTTTCCCCTACCCCCACTGATAAAATTGACTTGATTTATGGAATTGACAGCCTCAGAAAAGGTTGGATACGCATTTTCAGCTACATGTCGTTTATAAAACAGGGATATACGCATTTAGAGAGTGACGGCTTGAATGGCCATGCCTTTTTTAATTTTGAAAATTGCTGAGATTAGCAAAATCTTTAAACTATAATAACTTGAAATGTATATATTTAAGTTATTCTTCTGAAATTTGGGAAAGTAGTGTAACTTGATCATATTTAACTATTGTGTGAAAATCAAAGCAATCCTGGATGATTGGACATGGAATTACCCATCGTGCTAATATCACTCTACCCCCACAGGCAAGTTAAATGATTGAAAGTTGAAACTAAGCTTTCCAACAACTACCGTAAGTGGCTGTTGTTCAAATTCCTATTGTTCTAGCAATTAAAGGAATAATTTTAAAAATAACTTTTAAAAAGGCTAGAAACATGACAAACCTAATTGATGATCTCAAGCTGGGTCACTAAGAGGGGGACAGAGAGCACATTGTCAAAGGAATTAGGTCTAGGGGGTTGCAAAGAGGGCCTAAAATATGGCAAATCATTTCAAAGGATTGCAAAAAAATGACTGTAAAAAATATTCTGAAATGTATTTTAAGCTAAACTCAATGAACTTGATCATAAAACTTTCTGTTCCCTTTGCTCACAGGGCCACATCTTTCAGCTAAGCAGCTCTGAACTTTTTGGCAAGCCTGAACACAAGACTCAGTTGTGTAAAAAAATTTAGAAATTCATTTTTGTAATCTTAAAAAAAACACCTAAACCATACTTGTCACATGTGCAAGAGTGCACTTGCAATTTTCCAAAACTTTTTCAAGAGTGCAGCTGCCATGGAATCCACACTAGGGTCTTCTAACATAATAAGATTTACCAAAGATTTTTACTCACCCATTAGTGAGAAGAAAAGGGCAATAATCACTAGCAATAACTTCATACGTCCATTGCCAGGTCTAGGCTTGAGAAATATCTTCAAAGACTTTATTGAATTCTCGCAACTGACAAGAGCTTCTTTTAACGTCAATTTCACGTCAGGGTAGTATGATTCTTGTAGGATACATGCAACATACAATAAATTGCATAATTGAACACCGGCAGTTATAGAGAAAGTGATAAAATAGCCGGCTTTGTCGACCAATACCCCGCCAACCAGTTCTCCCAAGCATCCACCAACAAGAACCATCGACTCCAAAAGAGCTACACGTAAAGTCCTGCTCTTTTCGCTTGAAACATCCGATATATAGGAAAAGACAGCCATGAGGATCGTTGCATAGTTGCCGAAGAACCCAGATATTATGACACCAACAAGAAGAGCAGATACAGGCCAATCAGAATAATGAGTATTTAAAATTAAAGCAACTGCGTCAATGATCCCACCAATTAATGGAAGAACCAATGCAAACTTTCTTCCAATCTTGTCGGAGCAAGGACCTAGGATCATGGCTGTGAACATGGACGGAAATGTTGTAGCCATGCTGAGGTACAACATCCATGTTGATGTCCCCTTTTGTACTATTGCTTCTTCGTGAGCATAGGCCTTATTTGTTTTGATGTTGTTGCAAACAGACTGGTTGTATTGGCTGTCACAGAGCTTTTTGTAGATAAGCTGTTCTTCGATAGGAAAGATAAGAAAAATGCAGAACATAAATCCGAAGAGAACCGGCTCAACTGTCACAAGCCTCGCCATTTTCTCCAACAAGTGCCAAACACTGACAGTGGTGCCAAAGGATAAAACAAATGTTGTTGCTGTTGTCTTCCATCGAAGGAATCTAGGCACGTGGTTCTCAGGAGTCACTCTCGTGCTACCCAAATAAATTCCAAAAAATTTCGGACGGTTTAATTTCGGGCGTTTATTTTTCTGACAGAAAATTTCGGACCAAAAAATTCCGAATCGGACAATTTTGGACAAAAATTTCGTACAAAATGTGAAAGAGGCAAAGAAATTTTGGACATTATCTTTTAGTTTCATTACACAGCACAATAATGTCATCTCGTACAAAACACTAATTATTAAGCATCTGAATACAGTTTTAACTTGTATCATGATCAAGGATCAAGGTTCAATTGTTGATCTGGCTTTTTCGCAAATGGTTCGCAAACCAATAAACCATCTTGGTAGATATAATTAAGATTTTCTTGCCTACAGCAATAACAGTTATTAGTTTTATCTGAGCAAATAAGGGTATTATCTTGAGATCTGAAAATTATATTATCAAGTTAATGGTTACAGTAGCTGTAGAAGTGTTTGAACTAACCCCAAACAAGAGGAAAGGCTTTTTGCAGTGAAAGAAATAACCCAGAGTCCTTGGTTTTATATCTCTATTTATTCGTATGGATGTTCAAAAGGATAGATAAACTTGTACCAGATATTGTGGGCCATACACCTGAAGAGATTTCGCGTATTTTTGGTGTTTTTAGGAAGCAGTCAACAGTGATGCTGCAGTAGTAAAATGTCACTGGTCTCCGATTACCAACAGTGGTTTAAAAATCATCTTGATGGCTTACACTTTCTTGTTATTGTAAGTCTCGGCATTCATACTTCATATGTAGACAAGTTGGTTTTGCAGTCTCGCATCCCATTTTTAGGTTATTAACATGTAAGTTATTAACAATCTTAGGGAAATATGCTTCTCAAAAGTTCTATGTTGTTTATTGGCAGTAAAGTATTTTGAAGGTAAAGTTTTTGGACGGTAAAAATTCCACAGTCCGAGAATTTTACCGTCCAAAACTTTTGGGGATAAATGTAATCAATCGGTTATTTAATCAAGTATATTTTCTCAACTGAAACTAACAACAGTTTAGGACACAGCGAGGATTGTGTATCACATTTGAAACGATTCTCGACTTTCTATTGAACTGAAACTCGTGTGGGTGTAAAGCAGGGGTGTAGTGCTAGGGGGCTCGAGGGGGAGGGGCTAGGCCTGATTCCAAAGCTCCCTGTCAACAAATTAGGGTGGATTTTATCAGCAAATGCACCGTGCTACTAAAAATGTCTTGCAGAACTAGCATTTATGTAGTAATATAAGAATCAAAGTTGAAATAAGAACAATATTAAAAACACCCGAGCCTAAAACTATCCGAAAAAAGGACGCCGGGCCTTGATAAAAGATATCTGGTTCTTCTAAACAACCTTCGTTTTTGCGCGTTCAGTTTCAGCCTGGCGTTAATTTTTGCTCAAAACTTCAGCCTCACGAGTTTCTAATTTTGTTTCTTATTTTTTGGGAAATATCAGTCAGATGTTTCTTATAAGGGTTGCTTTTGTCGATGTGAACGCCTTCATTAGAACGAACACTTTTCACCGTTTATCGAAGAACCGAAAAGGATGATTGCCGAATTCCATATATATCCGCCAATCAGCTTCGTAGATAAAAATTTATCTAACCAATCACATCATGGATTTTGCAGTGTGATTCTACATCAAGTACAACAGTAAAAGACATTGAAGATTAAACACGTAAAATTCAAATTTCTAAATGTGGATTTCTAAAAATATAACCGATATTGTCATAGAATATACGCAAACTCCTTTTAAACGACATAATTTTATAAATTTTACAAAAATATAGTATTCTTCAACTACCCAAATACGCATCAAAAATAATCTGGTGTATTAAGGTAGTATTTTGGGCGACTAGGCCTATTTGCTGTAATCGGAAATGTTTCGAAAAGTCATCTTAATGACCTCATATTTTGGGGGCATGAAGTCTGGCAGCAAGAGATCAGTAAAAATTGGTCTTGGGGGTAATTTAAAAAATGAATAGCTTTAACTTCGAAATGCATAAAAATGCTACTGAAAACAAAGGTAGGGTCACGTCGCCCTAATTAAGTGTTTTTCCATTTATTGCGAAAAAAATGGGAGATTGGGGCTAAGCTGCAACCAAAAAAGCGCTATTAGGAGATTGGGGCTTAACTTTAACTCGAATTCATCAATACTAACAATCAAGATATTCCGTGATTAAAACAGATTTAATTCAACAACGTTTTTACAAATCAAGGTCCATTAACATGAAGATCTTACTAGTAAACAAAAACGAAGTCAACTTAAGAATATATAAACATAAATTGTATTTATATTTGCATCCCAGCTAAACATACGATCAAATAAATACTTACATAATTATAAAGCATAACTAATCGGGAACATTCAAGAGGCTGGACATTTGACCTTAAATAATAGGCAACTTAAAAGAGATCGGTACTGGGTTTTGAAAAGTGCAACAATCAAATCAAGTTGGTAGCGTATTGAGTGAATCTGGTTTAGAAGTCGTTCATTCTATCACGGGAAATAAATGCTGACAGAAATATATCAGAAATTAGGTACATGATTTACAAAGCATGGACTAGCACACTCATAATGATCTTGCCCCTTAAAAATGTCTGCTTCCTAAACTAAAAAAGGTCCCAGTACATATAGGTACCTAGCTACCAGCCTTTATTCGTAACCTCGAGTCGTACATTTCTTATTTACCCGTATGCATCAACAGTTATTATAAGCCTATCTGTAAAATCTTTAATTATTCATATCTATATTGAAAAAATATATTTACAACTGTCCTCAAAATACCAACAAAAGATCAAATGGAACCCTTCCATTCATATTCTGGAACAATAATATATTTAGTCTACAAATGTATGAATTGAAAATGGAACTGAGCACAGCAATTCTATTGAATTACACATACCGCGCTCTTGTTTTTCTGTAGGGACTGTGGTAACCCGGTCTTTCTATTTTTGTACACCAAATCAAGTGCCTGCGAGAAGATATAAAAATATTGTTACGCGTATACAGTGCGAAAATATATAAAAACATCTTGCCAAAATGGTTGACACGTGGATTTTTTTAGAATGATGCTGATGATGGGTGATGGATGATTGATATATATCAATAGACTCTTAGTTGGAATTTTCTCATATTTTAATTTCAATTTATCATTCTTTTGCACTCCATTTTCAAAAGAATTATTTGATAAAAAAAAGAGCCTCAAAATTGGTCAAAAGTTTGTAACAAATTAATAAAAAGCTAAGGCTGAGGTACTGTCAAATGTTATTTTGAACAAAGTTGTGAAACCCCATTAAAACCTTCCATTTCAAAAATGAGAAGGCTCCTGCTGTTTAGGGGTGCTTTTTCGGTGAATTTTCAAAAATTTCGGTAAATAAGTATGGCTCACTTACTTTCTTGGCAAATGCGGCCTAGAAAGTCCTTTTGAGGACACTAGCCAGCGATTTCAATGCTTACGCCCTTTTAATTAAGGAACAACCAAGCTTCAAAGTTTGGGGAAAATCAAGAACAACTAGCCTAATATTTCAATTTACTGTTTCTTATAAAGAGAGTGTAAAACGCTACACCAACTACGCATGGTACACAGATACCTGTATAAATCGATCCCTGCAAAAAAGCGGGATATAAATACAATAGCTGTGCTATAAACTGGCGTATGATGCACTCACCTCGAGACACTCAAAAAAATCAATAGACTTTGTATTATCTGAATCAATGCTTTCCAGAATCTCGTTTACTTGATCTTTTGTAAAGAGCATCTGACTTGTATCCAAGATCGTCTCCAATTCTTTGGCATCTATCGTCTGAAAAATATCAATTATTTGCATTTAGCTAATTTATTTGCATAATTTTAGTGGCATCAGTCGAAGAACAAATCACTCAATGGAAATCTCGTACACTTGATGGAAACTCGTTTGTTTTATTAGAAATTCCGTATAAATCCTTGTGGAAATATCGTACACCTTTTCAAAGGGTTAATAGCCCCAATTGCTGCATGTGCTTTAGGCCAATGGGGCAAAATTTCAGGAATTTAATTGTGCGACCACGTGAGATTTTGGTTACCAACATGTTTTTCTACAATTAAGGGATAACATTAGCAGTAGCGTTTCTACGGGGGAGCCAGGGGGCCACGGCCCCCTAGAAATTTGCTTCCCCTTGCTTGGCCCCCCAGTTTTTTCAAAAAGTTTCTACTAAAAAATCAATGTTTTCTTCGAAAGCTGTTTAATGGTTTTTTGACTTTGTTAGGGTTGCTCTCATTATTTTTCTCAATGCGATCTTTACCACATCTATTTAACAAGCTAGGGGCCCTGATTAAGCGATTTGTAACTGAGGTGAAAATTAATGAAATTTTGGCTCCTTTCTATAGCTACCTAGAAAAATTCGTTCTTGACGATCATTTAAATTTTATATTTGTTATATATTATCACGAAGGTACACCTTCTTGGGGTGGGGTGCGCAGTTCTCTGACTTGAAATTCTCTGACTTGAAATTCTGTGTAACAGAATGATTTGCTTAATCTCATGGTGGTTGGATATAAGGCATATCTACTATGGAAAATTTTTACCAATCAACTTTACAAAGCTATTAGCCTTTTATTTTTAGAAGTATAATTCTTCTGTGACAGACCAAAGTTACCTTTAGTTAATAACAAAGGGTACCGAGCCTTTGGGGACCCCCAGCAACAATGTTTCTTTGTTATTTTTCCTAGGGGGTGCGGCTGCTCGTTACGCCTCGAATAAAACTATTTGGCATAATGATAACAGCCTTGATAGAGCTGTACCAAAGTCATACTTATCCGGGGGGCGCTAGAAATCGACCCCTTGTAGCTAATTTTGAGCCACCACGCCACTGCTTTACATTTTACTAGTTCGCAAAGTCATGGCCAGCGTTGGCCCCTATAAATGAAAGTTTGGCCCCCGGCTAGCTCCTCAGATTTTTAAGGCTAGATTCGCCACTGAACATTAGTTAAACCGAAATCATGATGACCTCGACTCGCGAATGATATATTGAGAAAAGTTCCAGTGGCTTTAGTGTGCGCGTGTCTTTAAATCCAGAGAAAAATCTAGCAAAACGTTTTGGTTGGTTGCCTTTTAATCAGGGATAGCCAATGATAGCCAGAGATACAGTTGAGAATTTGGGCCTGTCGGTCCTGCATTATTTACTGTTTTCACGCCAAAATCAACGACCAATAACGAAGAGATGCAAAAAATAAAACCGCGACAATAAGGCTTGAACTATCAATCACAGAAAGAGGAATTTTAAAATACCACGTTTTGATGCCGATCTTTAGCGTGAAAACGAATTCTATCCTTTATTTGCCTCTCCTTAGAATTTCTTTCCATTTTCTAATACACTCGTCTTAGACTAAGGATTTGTTCTCAGATTCCTAAAAGAAGCTCTTCTTTCTATCCACCTACGCCAACTAAACAAGAAAAAGGTGCCTAATCGACGAAAAGAATAATTCCCACTCCATCTTTAAAAGAAGGAATTTCGAAAAATTTCTTAAACTTGAGGGTGATCAGTACTACGGTTTTTAATTGTTGATCATCTTCGGCCTCGGTATATATTGCATGCGACGTGCATTAAAGGGAAGTTGTATTTGAGAGCTTGCGTTTATTAAGGACACACAGTGAACATATTTAAGACATTATTACGCACCCCACTCTTGTCCGTGTCCGCCTCTATGAATTTCTTCTCGGCAATGAGAACCGTTGACAGAGTTAGCTCTGGAAATTTCTCAGCAATTGCCTAACAGAATGAGGATAAAGAAAATCAAATAAAACCGATCACGAAAACCCCTGAAATTTCAACAAGAAAATATCGATTGAAAATTGATCATGACAGTTTCAACAGAAAATTCGAAAACAAAATTCTTATCAAAATCTGTGAATGAGAAGAAAATGATAATGAAAATTTGACCATTGTTTATGAAAACTTCAATCAAAGGGTATCAATTATAGTGTTAACTATAGACCAGAGAGAAAGTTAAAGTTCTATTTAAGTCATTAACACACAAGGTGTGTAGTTCTATGACAAAGAAGGGGAGGCTCTCGCAAAAAGATCTAAAAACAATGGGGGCTCAATACGGCCTAGCCCGCTAGAACTACCACATGCTTTTTAGTATTTTATCGACAATTCTAAGTAAATTTAATGCATAGAGGTTATCTTGTTTCCGAGGGCTGTATTTTCCAGGTAAGATGATCTCAAAAGGATTTCAATCAGGTATGCGAAATAACAGAGATTGTGACGTCATAGGGCAACAGGAATTTTTATGCAACTGAGGTTGTTTTATCGCTAGGCAACGCCAGCCTATTACCTTTCTCCCTTTCACTTTCATCATTAGGATAATCCAATCTCATCTTAGAAGAATGATTGCGCAGATCTCACTAGAATACTCTACTGTTAGGTAAATCTTTCACACGAATCTTAAAGCCAACATGGATTATTCTGCATATGGTTTCCAGGTCAGAGAACGCTTGATTGAAAACCAGTGGTGATGTAATCATTTCCAAAAGAGGAATCGCCAAATGGGGGCTTATGACACAATTGGGTACTTTATAAGGAGAGAGCCTGGGAGCACTCGAAATGGGCTTTGGCTCTTTGATGGGGGAAAGGGCATGCGAGTGGTAGCGGCTTCAAATTGTAAGGCCAGTAAATGGTCCTAAGAATTATCTTCACAATATGTAAGAATCATTATATCTACTCCTATGTTAATTTTCATAGGATTTTGCCGGAACTTTTGGCATCTATGATAAAATTTTCATCAATGTTCAAAAATTTAGTTTTATAGTGAAGTAGTTAAAAATTTTGCCAAACTTTATCTGCTACTTGAGTGATCAAAAAATTGGTAAACATACTATGTGAGAGCTGGGAGATAAATCATCTACATGTGAATAAATCATTGGAAATGGACAGCCAATGGGGCAGGAAAAAACGCCTCCACTGGCAGCAGTATTGGTAGGATATTGATGAATGTCTGTCTTTATTCATCAGGGCATTCACATGTGGCAGTGAACAGCCAGGGTGATCAGAATTGAGAGGTGAGATAATTATGATGGAACAGTAACACAGTTTTCATTAAAATGGAATTGTACCGAGGGAAAATTCAGTAAGAGGATACAGAGTGATGGGTATGTGGTGAGGTCCCTAGAAATTTTTCCAGTACATCCAAAAAGCATGTTTTACATTACTAGCATGAAAATTTGATGAATTTGTGGGAGTCAACTTTTTCAAAGAGATAATAACTAAAAATTTTGAAGTACCAAAGAGTTTATCATAAATAGGCTGAATTTGAATTTGCTAAGGAATAATGACAAAAATAAATGACAAACCGCATATAGTTTGTCTGTATCCTCAAAAATATCTTCACTTCCTCCAGTTGAAGGAAGGGACAAAAGTCCATCTTTCTGCTTGCTTTTTCTTGGAACTTTTCGTTTTGCAACCTTTTTCTTTGACATCATTCCACTTTTTGGCCTTTTGATCTAAAACAGAATTTCCAATATCTCTTATGTTGATTTTAAAAGATTTAATTTTTACCAGTAGCATATCTGAAACTTTGTCTCAATGCAAGATAAAAGATATGAGGCCTTTTAGAGCCATTTGAGAGGTCCATCTAGTGTTTCTATAGAACTAAATGTCTCTCTTGAAGGGCAAAACCCAACGGATATCTGCCAAACTGAATATAACTGTGACAAACAGAGACTGACCTTTTGCAGTTACTAAATGCATTGAGAGGTTTGTCATATAATTAAAAGATGTAACTCTTCAAATAACAAACACATTGTTCCAATATGCTTGCCATGAATGTTTTTTATCAGCACCCTGTTTCAACATTCTGTTAACTTTTTGGCCATTATTCAAATATTTTGCCAGGTTTCTACTCTCTCATTTAATTTTTAATTTTGAAATATGAGGGCCACATTGTTTAACTAGAAATAGTTCTATTCAAATATTTTGAACTTAAAAACCTTTTCCTTAGTGGTTCCCTATTTCTCACCATCTTGCCTTTTTTAGCAATCATAGAAGTTGATAATGTTCATTAACATCAAATTTTTAAAAAATAATTCTAAAAACAATGTTGTTAATACCTGGCTTTTAACATCTGACTTGAGATCAGCGACCTAAAAACAGAATGCATGTCTATCAGATCAATACTTGTGCGAAATACTAAGGGAGTTTCAGATTATTTTGGGATTGCAAATACAGAGGAACTGAGATAACAAACTAGGGTATGCTTCTAATTCTAGATTATAAAAGCAATATTTGAAAACATAGACAATTTTAAGATCTTACTCTTTACAAAATTTAGAGTTTACTTTAAAGGGAAAGCTATAGTGTAATCAAAAGCATTTGAAAAATTTAGAGTTCACATGAATCTGCTTGAACGTTATGCAAAATATACAGGTTGGTCGTGAAAAGGCCGAAATTGACTTGATATTGGATAGCCGTACTTCAGTTACTATGCAACATGTGATGAGTCTCGTGGGATATTAGAGAGGAAATACAATTTGATATTTCAATATAGAGAGATTGAATGAAGAAATGTCCATCTACAGAATAAAATTCACAATACCTAAAATCATTCTTTCATGTTAGCTTCCGGTTGAGGGACTTGGCCTAAAACTTTTTAGATTTGTGTAACTTTCAACTTACCTGTTTCTCTAAGTCTTCGACCTTTTTCACTAAATCATAATTCTGGCCTTTGACCCTATTTAATTCACGAGTTTTTTCTTCAAGTTCTTTCTTCAATGACTCTCTTTCTTTCAATCCAAGCACAAAATCTGACGTGGTCTTGTCAACTGTTTCGCCATTTTCGTTTGCATCTAACGTTTCCATTTCCCGCCAATCCTTGATTTATGTTTGACTTTTGGTGTAAATTAAGCTAATTTTGATCTTATCGAAGTTAGATAAACGGATTTTTCTGATACATGCCAAATCATAAATATTTGATGTGTGGCTTTGGGATTAAAGTAACTAACTATTTATTCGGTACAATTCTGTGATCATGACAACAGCATCACACAATTCAATTCAACCATCTATAAACCAATGAGGCGAATTCTCGGGGAGGGGGGGGGGGGTACTCCCATTAAGGCCTGACGGGGGGTCCAGTTGATTTGAGGATCCAGTTCTTGCCAAATCGCTACAAAATGGCCAACTTTTGATAATAATTCAACTGCTCAGTTTAGCTTGACATTTATTATAGATAATGAACAAGATTTCACTTTTCCTGAAACGACGACAGTCAGTTGTGAAGAAATTTGTCAAAAAGGACCGGGGGAGCACAAAGAAATGAATGCTACCAAGAACATAATTTCGGTTTTTCTGCTAACATTTGAGGGTTACTGTCAAAAAATACTACCATTTGAGGGTGTTCGTTATAATTTTAGCATTGGCTCTCTTTGACCCTGACTAGACCCCCCTGTTAGACCATAATGAGAGTCCCCCCGGGGGCAATAAAAACCCATCAACTTCTGAAATAATCCCTACGCTGAACGGTTCGATCGATGCAAGAGTAATAAACACAGCGTTGTGAACAACATGGCCATCAAAATTTGAATAATTTTTGTGGAGCATTAGTCTATGTAAAGAACCCATGAAATAAAAGGTAAACTATATTTTTTGCGTCATTATTCCGATTTTTATTTCAACTATGCACATATATGAACAATATTATTTATTCAGATAAGGAATATTCTAAGTCGAAAATTTTGATAATATCAAGAACATTTTTGCATTTATAATTTTTAGAACCAAATTTTGATTCATTTTCAATCATTTTCCAGCTATTTGAATTTGGTTGAAATTTGCGGATAAATAAGCTTTGCTCAAAAAAGGAGTTCATTTTGCTGAAACGATCAAATCATGGAAAAAAGGCGGTGCCCTGTCCTTTTCTCCCGTCAACCAATGCGTTGACAGGCATCTGGATAAATCGCTTCGGGACAAGACCTCGTTAGGCTACGTTCACACTGCTCCGTATTCGTTTCGCTCCGTTTTCGTTGATAAAAACGCTGTCCGTTCACTTTTATCCATTTCTAAATGAACACGATTTGAATATGGTAAGTGTTCACACTGCTCCAACAAAAACGCTGTTGGTGGCCTCATTTTTGAAAAGAGGTGTTCACGAATCCTCAACAAATTGGCGTCATTATGAATGAAATTAAATAAAAGCAAATCGTGAAGATTTTGTTGCAATAGCTACCAGTTCTTTGTGAGTTCTCAATTTCAAAATTTTTGAGATTTGATGGACTAGAAAGCACCGTATTCGAAAGTATCCGTTTTCATTAGCGTTTTTAGACGACTCCGTTTTCATAGCAGAGTAGTGTGAAAGCAAGGCAAAAACGGATTAGTTTGACTCCGTTTTCATTTCACTTGTGTCGTAGCATACACACACAAATATGAATTGAAATATTTATCTCACAAGTAGGATTTTCATTTATCAAGCCTAGTGTTTACAACACATGCTAACAACAAGAGACTTTCCCAAAGTCAATTTTTTGTTAAATCCGTAAGACATTCGTACTACTGCGAGGGCATATCAAAACTGCGGAGGAGATGACAGTAGGTGAAGGAAAATCATCTCTTTCTCCTTCGCCTTCTATCGTCTCCTCCGCAGTTAAGATATGCCCTCGCGAAGTACGAATGCCTTAGGGATTTAACAAAAAATAGACTTAAGGAAAGTCTATAACAACAACATAGCAACAGACGCTACTGATTGTACAACGTCGTTCAAATCCCTCCAAGATACCAACGTAAGACTTGCATTCATTATTATAAGAAACTAAGCTCACAATTAGCCCTCAGTTTCTTAATTTTATGTTGATTTCACTGGAGAAAGCTTTTCAAAGTTTTTTTATACACCAGATGATCTCAGATGATTAACATGAGGTCACATGCAACAGAATGCCTAATAAGCCGCAAAGAGCGTTGGCGCCACCACGAGTTGGACTGGGGTGTCTCAAAATCCGTTGGAAAACCTTTTGGCGGGGGAGTTGACCAGATCGGTTACTTTTCCAGAAATTTCAAAATATAAGAAAAATACTAAAAAGCGTTTCCCACGTTTTCCGCGAGTTTGAAGGGTGTGGTCGATAATTTTTTTGTCCATCCCAAACTTTTCGGGCTGGTGACGCCACTGACAGGGAGCACTTTTTTTTTCCACTTTTGTCAACTTAACAGAAAATAGGAACCTAATCGTCGAAAAGAAAGATTTCCACCCCATCTTTGAAAGAAGGATTCTTGAGCATTTTTTGTAAGGTTGAGGGTGATCAGTTTTTTTAATTTTTCGGTCATCTTAGTGCTCGGTTTCTTACAACAAAACAAAATGAGTATGTTGAGGGAAAGAACTATACACTTTCTTGAAAACAAAAGCAATATATGGCATCACCATTGCATCAACTATAACCACAAATGGTACACCACCGAAATAGATTTTAAGACAAATGACAGATATGTCAGAATGGAAGGAGACTTTTTGATGTTCGAGGTCTGCAAAGACGGTTTGTGGAACCTGCTCATTTCTCACGCCAGTTAACATACAAATATAGTATGTGGCGTTGTGAAATATTAAAACAATCAAATGTTTAATATAGAGATATCGATATAAAGATATGTATATGAATAAAGGAGTTTGTAAACAGCTTCACGCAGATAGCTATCATAGTAATTATTGGTTGGTCGTGAGTCATAAAATTGGTTCACTGTGTTATTTTCTTTAAATTACGTATATTAAATGACGAAATGGACAAAGCTGAAAAATGTAAAGAAATGACGACTGTACAAAATGACGTCATCTATCATTACATCGCATTCGTTGTCTTGCAAATAAAAAGAATGGCCTAGATATGGTCAGCAACGAACAGCAGTACATTTTGCTGCCTCGATTCCCATCCGAATCCTCTTGGAATCGGTCCACCTGTTTCAACGAGTACAGAACCAAACCGAGTCTGTTTCATAAGTGATGCATTTTAGTACGGAACCGAGTGCATCCATTTTTTAACGAATGGAAATGGTCCCGGTATCGCGGAAATGTCGCCTTTCTTTGTTCAATCCGACAACCTAATCCAATCACATTTAAGATTTGCTATCAAATTTAAGGCATTATACTCTTTTTGTTTATAAGGACAATTTTATAAGAACACGAGCCTCAAAACTGGTCAAAAGTTATGAAACAAATTAAGAACAAGCTGAGGCTGAGCTTCTGCAAAATGCAATTTTGAATAACGTCTTCTCTCAAAATTGCGTATTTTTAGCGATGCGTGGGTGCTTTTTCGGTGAAGATTCAAATTTGTCAGCAAATTAAGGCTGTCTCATTCACTTTGTTGGCAAATGAGGCCTGAACACCTCCTTAGAGCGAAAAAGCTAGCAATAGCACTGCTTACACCCTCTTGATTTAAGAAAAAATTAAGAACAATCCAGCCTCAGATTTTCGAAAAAATTAAGAACAGTCAGCCTGAACCTAAATTTACTGATTCTTATAAAAAAAGAGTGTAATACAGTATATTTTTCGTTGTATTGTTAAAACAGAGTTCCGCTCCTTAACGATAAAGATACATAGCAAACAAAAATTTAATTTTGAAAATTCTTCTTTGAAACTTGTGCCTTCGACAATGCAAGTTGCCCAAAATGTCATCATTGAAAAGATTTTAAAGATTTGGCAAAACCAAAACTGGTTATGCGTCACAAAAACAACTATTTTCATGAAAACTATGATCTCAAATGTAAAACGGTGAATATTTGACATAAAATGTAAACAGAATTAGGCCATGCTAAATAAAATACAAACAATGCAAGCAAAAGTATAGGGCTATTTCAACCAAAGTTTAAGCCTCCACGCATCGACCCCGTTCAAGTAATAACGGAAAAGTCGCTTATCTCGAACAAAGCCAAGGTTCTCGTAGAGTTGCAAGGCTGCTTTATTGGTAACTTCGGTCTCTAGAACAACCTAAAAATGATAATATCAACAAGCATAGAATAGGAAATAATAAAAAAATTCGACAGAGGCTAGGTTTGATTCCTTTCTTAGGGACTGAAGAGCCATTATGCTCTTCACTTGAGGATTTCGAGCTCTATACATTGAAATGGGGGCCTCAGAGAGGCCTACCTCGAATCCAGACAACTACAAGGCCTAATAAAGAAATTTTCGCGTGTATATAAAAATATTCGATAGGGTGGGGGTAAATGGACGACATTGTTACAATATATGTGCGTACAGCCTAGCAGATTGAAATCTTGGTAAAAAAAATATTGTAAAACATTGTCACAAGCGCACTTTTTCCTATTGCCGCCATATACACTGTGCTACACTGAGGCATACAAACAAATGTTCTAGCAAACGAAACGAACATAGTGAGGATTCTAGCTCTGAATGGAAAAAATTACGTTACTTATTCACTTAGGTACGGGATGGAACGCCTGTTATTTTATGTTTTACAACCTAAAATATAAACAAAGAAGATCTTTGCAGAGGAAAATATCCCTTTGGTTAACAGATACTTCGACAAAGGATAGGTGATAGAGCTATTGAAGCCGAAAAGAAGATGATTGGGTCATAACTCACAAATTTAGAGGAACGAAATAGGAGTTTTGTGAAATCTGATATAAAAAACTTGGATGTTGGTGGCTTGTACTAAAAACATATACATATAATTAGATAGAATAAAATATCGAGTCTTGGGTGTTCTTAGGCGAAATTAGCTTCTGAACTATCAATTTGCTAAATTTGTTCTAGCTCGAAAGAAAAGAAATAAACACCATTACATCCATCACATTACCTCTTCACATCCATGCTCCTTCATCTTTCGCACTGCTTTCTTCACAAGTGACGAACCTGCAAGGATACCGTTACATTGCATGAAGAGATAACCGGAAATATAAGCACAATCTAATGTACCAATGTATCCAGTGTTTTACCCTGACAGAGTGTTATTTTCTTCAAGACTTTTTGTGGCCGTAAACTTTTTGAAAAAATTTCATGTAAAATCAGTTTGGATTTTGTGATTCAAAAACCTCAATAATGCGATAAAATTATGTTGTTGAAGACAAAAGGAGACACATGAGTATAAAATAAAAGTACCTATTTTATCAGAAATGTTTTGCCATATTTATAATCAGAACTGCAAAGAGGTTTCGGAGTTCCTAGGAGAAAGCCGAAGGTCAAGGCCCCCAGTGAGCGGAGGGAAAAGAAAATATTTGTCACCAAGCCCTCAAGATTAGCTTAAAATGCATTTCAGAATATTTCTTGCAGTCATTTCTTTCAAATTGTTTAACATCCTACGTTCTTAAGCATACTTTTGCTACAATTGATTAATTCCATTCCTAACATCGTGCAATCAACCCTGAGGCCCCCTAGGGCATTTTGCCCTCATGCCCCCTTTCAGCAGCCCCACTTATAGTGTATGCTATTGTCAAAACTCGTTCAAAGGGTTGGCAAAGAAATGTGGAACATTGCCATTCTTGCACCAATGAGCGAGCACCAAAATGGCAATTCCTGCGTCTTGATAAATGAAGCAATTTTATGAAAGACTCATACCAAAAACTATAACTTTGTGCAAATGATATTTATCTGTAGTGTTGTGAATGAGTTACAGGCAGGAAATTCTTGCAAAAATACACCTATGATACGGGATGTTGGTTCTTTCTTTATAATCTGCATTTAAAAAATATCTCAAACACTAATAACGGTATGGGGTCGTAATGACATACCAGTAATGACATAATTTGTTAATTTTTGCAGCAAAATTTCCTGTGAGAAAAATTTCCATGGTTGAGAAATTACCTGTGAGAAAAATTTTCTAACTGATTTCCTGTGGCCAATGGTCACACGGTCATGGGGAAAATAATGCCTTGCACCCTTTTTTCAAGCTTAGGGGTCACGGTTTCATAAAGGCAAAGTTACCGACCAACAAAGATGAAGACAATTTGGTTTTTATTTAACTACCATCTGGTGTTTTTTCAGACCAGTTAATGGGCAATTGTAGAATTTGCTAACCAATTCATGTAAAACTGGGTGGGGATAACACTCTCCACATCACATCATCAAATACAAGTTTTTTAAATGATTATGTCTTCGGAAATGCTTATCAAACAATCAATTTAGAAATTATGAAATAAAAAATTAGAAAAAATAAATCAGAAATTGAAAGAAGCAAAGAGAAGAAAGACTAGTCAGTCAAAATTGGATAATTGGATGCAATTTGTGTGGTAAAAATACATATATGGAGTTTTAGGCCTGTAAGGAGGCATTGTAACCTAATATATCCAGGACTGACCTGCATAAGGTTGTGCCCTGTTTATTGTGTAGCAAAAAGCTCCCTAGTGGTTGGTTAGTTATCCAAGCTGCATTTGGACTTCATCAAATCAAAGGAGAAATGTTAGCAACAAAGCAAATGAAACTGGGTTTTACTTTAAGATGGACATGTTTACAGTGAAAATATGTTTCTACACTTCAATAAACAAATTCAATATTAAACGAATTGTGATGTTCCGTTGGATTCGGTTTTGCAACGGAAACTTTTTCAGATTTGGGCAGTCTTTCTACAAATAATCTAGGCCTACGTTTTCCCAAAATGGAATAAAAAGTTAAGAAAATGCTTCAACTTATGAAGCATAACCAAGAAAACACAGGATTTTTCGATTTTCCTGATTATAACAGCAAAATATGCAGAAGGGTTGTATGGCCTAACAATGGCAAAATCACATGACCTTCCAAAAATTTTAGAGCTGTCCAAACAAATACAACTTTTTAATTTCATGCTTGCATAGCAAAAAAAATTATAAAAGAAATTATTAAATCGAACGTTTAAGCTTCAAAAAAAGTTTACTTCATCGACGAAAATGCTACAATTTTATTAAATTATTGTATTTATTCAAGCTAACTAAAATTTATTCAAACTTAAAATTGCGTTGTGCTCATCGTCGATGATTTATTTTTGCTTTGAGAGAGCATTTTCTTCTTATAACGCCTGGAAAATTTGTGTTTTTCATGACTTTCATAGCCATTTTTAGCTTCTTTTTTATATGACAACATGATGTCTGGTAAGGATTCAAACCTATTACTTCGCAGTTCCCTCAGAAATGACCTTTTGTCCCTCGGCGACGTAAACTTCTTTGGTTGACCAACCCTTGGAAAATTTTTTACTGTTCTTGTACGGAAAAACTTTTTACACACCAGAAAAGCTGCACTCAATGAGCAGCCAACAATTGATGCAATATGGCGAAATCCATTTGCTTAATTATAGTAGAAAGCAATTTCTAAGCGCTTCTCTTAACTCAGTTCTTGAGTTTTCAGAGCTTCCATGTTTTCGTCTCGAGACCTATAGAAATTTTATGGTCGACATTTTTTTATTTTTTGGCGTACATAAAAGGCTTCAAAATATCAACAATGTCTTGTGAAAACTTCATGGAAATGGCTGCCGTACTTTTTTAATGAGAAAGATTTAAAAAAAGTTTTTCCAAATTTGTTGCATAAAATGTCTTCAAAGTTTCGAAGTGTGTCCCAAAACTTTTTGAACGTAAGTGTAGATTCAGCTCTATTTGTGTTTGAACCACTAGTTTGAAAACACCTTAGGCAGGCTGTCTTTATACAGGCCTTTCCATGAAGAAATTTTTACAAGGATGAAGAACTGTCTGCCTGAATGAACTAATGAGGGCCATTGCCCACCCAACAATATTTGTTAAAAGAGAAGTCCTCCAGAGCACAGTGGGGTAGGAGTAGAAGAGTATCAACTGCCCAAACTTTGATTTCCTAAATGCATAATTATCACCAATTTTTAAACAAACTATTTAATGTAGAATGAAGAATAATGATGCAATACAGCTTTGTTTTCATTTGCAAATTTACCTTTCATTCAATAACTAGCATTTCTGTACATGTTCTTCCTTTCTTTTGCCGGCAAGACATGTTTGTGCAAGGGCAGACGATAGCCAGCACCAAATATTTGGCGAAGGTATTAACTTGCAGTCATTATGTTGAAATAGCCTGTTTTCAAGAAAAATCTAAAATTCTTCAAAAACTCTTTGGTTTATAAAAATCTCATTCACCTTTTCAAACAGTGATCCACCACTCAAGCATTCTACATTTTATGGATCGCAAGTCATTACATGCCTTAACTTTTCCAGGCATGTGATTACCAGCATGCCAGCAAATTTCATACATATAAATTTTAAACCAGGGCTGCAAATGAAGATTTACATACCTATTTTGCACCTCCTGTAATCTCTATGGACAACGAGCATGGCAATATAGCCTCTCATGACACTTTTTCTGTGTATTTCCAGCTTACACACAATAGCACCAACACAAACATTATTTTCATAGGCCTGAAATTCAGAAAGTAAGAGAAAGAAAATAACTTGTTATCCAATTCAGAATCAACATATTTATGTATTCCTAAATTTTGATCAAAGAGGTTTCCTTCCTGAATCTTTTATTATAAATATGGCAAAATCTACACAAACTCACTGAAATTGATGATTATTTGGAATACAGAGAGCTGGTCACTCTCCTCATGCTAAGAAAAGTCTCGCAGGGACTCGAAAACCCAACCACTGGTTATCTACACATTATAATCAGACTGTGACTAGTTCAAATCTATTTATTACTAGAACTTACCAAGTGAGATAAATGTGGCCAATTATGTAAGAAGTATCGGTATGTGTAAATTGAATATGGTTCTGAAAGATCAATTGTTATCAGTGCAACCAAATCTGGGAGCTGTTTTTCAGACTCATATTGTATGAACTGAATTTCCTTATCTATCTCCTGATCTTTTATGACCATCAATGAGAACGCTTCTGAAGCATCTCTGCTTTCACTACAGCCATTTAGACCTTCTTTATTAGTATCTATAGGTACTTCTCTAACAGTTTTATCAAAATTTAATTCCTTCGAACACAGAGGTTCTTCATTTCCACTACTATCATCACACAGTTGTGATCCATTCGCTACTATGCCTTGTTGATCATCAGAACTTTCCACTGTGTTGTCGCTATCTTGAATTTTCACGCAGTTATCATTCGTGCTGCAATTTACACTATGGTTGACTGCATGATTAACGTTGCTGTTGGCTTTCTTCAATGACGACTCTTGACACTGCCTGTCGATCACACCATTCTTCAGGACCAAAGTATCATTTTTAGGGTTCGTAGAATCTTTGCAAACATATTCCAAACTATTTTCTGATTCGATTGGCTTTTCCAAAGAGGAATCACCCATTTTCTCTCCTCAAAAGGAAAGGCCTACCGTTTTGCAGAATGACGAACTGTGCTTCTTGTCCTGATTTCAAAATCAGCCTATTTCCAGATCCTAATTAATGCTAATGCTTCATTTTTAAATTTACCACTGTTAAATATTATTTCTTTAATTCGTTATTCAAACTCTAACACGATCTTCGCAAATTTGCTGTCCTACTATCCTCAAAAGTTTGCATCCCGAAGAGCCTCTCTTCGTTCGTGAGGTGCTCTTGAGAACGAGGGCAAAACCTAGGAAGGGAAGATGGAGGCATGCATTTTTTCAACTGCTTACAAGGTGATTGTTTGCTCGTTGCTCGGTGTGACTGCTGTTCTTTCCCCACTTTTGAATGCATTTGTTTGTTTAACAATATTCAAACAAAGGAAATTTCGTACAACTGGGAATATCTTGATATGCAATCTGGCATTAAGCGATGGCCTAATTGGCCTTACTTTGGCTCCACTTGAAGTGGTCTATGTGTCGCATTTTCCACGATGGCAACTGGAAAGATCTGGTACTGATATCCTAAATTCAATATGGCTATTTTCCTTAGTATCTCCGTTTGTAATCGTGTCAGCTATTACAATCGAGAGGTATCGAACAATCAAAACATTTACCCTCGCTACAAGGGAGCAAATTTCCACCAAAAAGCTGTTGATTGTAATTACAATTTTGTGGCTTTATAGTGTAGTAGCAGTTGCTTTCATGGCTGGAAACTTCACTGATGCACAGAGGCATGTCTACAACTGGAATGTTAATCCAAGTTTTTACTACCCATTCCTTGCATTGCATATTGTTATCCCTCTTAGCATTGTCGTCACTGCCTACTACAAAATTTTCAGGCTAACTAAAAGAATGCGAGTAGATGAACTTGAGCAATCTGCTGCTACAAAAATTCAGAGTCGCGAGGTTAGGCTGGCAAAAACACTTGCAATTGTAATTGGGCTGTTGTTTCTGGTATGGCTACCAGTCTTGGTCATTGAATGCTTTTATGCAACAGAATCAACTTCATGCATTACTGAAGCTGCAGGACCAGTAAGTGTATGGCTTACTGTCTTCAGCGGAGTTATGAACCCCATTGTTTATTTTTATAGAAACCCCAGTCTAAGAACTGCATTCCAGCAAGTAGTTAGCTTTCACAAGAAACGTGTGCCTTCTCAGATGACAACCAGACTTATACCAACATCTGATGAACACAGCAATTAGAAGCACGTAAAAAGCCTTGATTTCCTCATCAAGGGCTCTGGATGAAAATTTGCTATAAAAAACATAAAATCTGCTGATAGCAAGGTGGAAACCTGGACCAGTGTAAGCACCAAAATAGGTATGGACAAGACAGTTGCATGATGGCACAAAAGGGTCTGGGAGCAGACCCCCATAGAAACTGTACCTTCTAGAGAATCAGAGCACATCTTTTTTGTGCATTGAATGTTGAAATCGATCCATGGAAAATGTTTTGTCCATCCTAGTCCAACTGTGGTATATTGTCCTTGGTTGAAATTGCAAAGAAATTAGTTTTATATAGACTAGGACCTTACAAGTTATTTCCAAAACTGTTTCGATTCAAACCTTGAAATGAATTTTCTGTTTACTTTTAGTTCTTTATATTCTGAAAAATGCAAGAGGTCCTTTATACTTTGAACACCCCATCTGTCCTTACGATTTGCAATGTTAGAAACTTGATTGACGATAAAGTAATTCAAATTTTTCTAAAGTTCCATTTTAGCTCTGCAAATTTATTCTGAAAAACCCATACAATGCAAACTATTCTGGCTTGTTATAGTTTGGTTTCAGTTTAGCAGGTTAATTTTCCTTTATCGAGATAGCCATCAGAATTGGTTTATTTCTTTAAATGTCTGCATTTCAGTTCTTTTTCAACATACAATGCATCAACAAATAATTTTCTTGAGAACATAACTTTTTTGATCAGTGAATGGAAGCAAAAATATACATTTTACAGCAAGAAATATTCCCACAAATGATGCTTACAGTATATCTATATATGAAATCTTTGCACCAAATGTTTCATCATATATATAGTAACAAATGAATAAAAATTAGGAATAATTTAACAATATTTTGAAACCAAAATTTGTATTATAACTACCTGTTGGAAAAAATTGTTAATCCATAAATTTTAAATCATTATATATATTCTTTTACAATTTTTAAATGCTTTAACAGTCTAATTTGAAGCTACTACAGCATTGAAGCATCTGCTAATACTTGTTTAAGACCTACGAAGCTATATAACTGCTATGTCACTCATATTAACATATAGTTGAATAAAGCGAACATGTTATGTATAATATCAGTGACAGTGCCAGTGTGGCTATCAGGGAATTTGATATGTCACTTATATCAGGGGCGGACACTTGATCAAACATTGGGGGGGCAAGCCTATTGTTTTAATAAGATGACGTCACATTTCCCATTGTTTTAGAACAAAAGACCATTGTCCTCCAAAGTATTGGGGGGGCGGTCGCCCCCCCTTGCCCCCCCAAGTGTCCGCCACTGACTTATATTTGAAAATGTGACTGAAAATTGTTTTAACATGTCGGCAGATAAGGGAACATAAGGGAAAATGGGATTTGGAAACCCCCCTTGAGCACAATAGCAAGCGACGGGCCTGTAAGTACCCATTATGAAAACTGTTTATAAGAGAAGACAGATGCCCCCAACTCAAATAACAGAGTCCAATGAACAAGGACAGTAGCAGAAATTAATGGATTTGAGTGGCGGGGCAAGGTCAAGGCATTTTCCACAATTCTTAACTGTTTGAGCGATGTTTTTGTCTTTTTTTCAAGGTACCATATATTTATGATCCGATTTGGAATATCCTTTTTGTATTTTGAAACGCATGATTGCATATTGAATAAACCAAACTGAAAATGAAATGCATGCAAATAAATTTTGATTGTATCGTTATGATAGCCTTTGAACTGTATTTAAAAATGCACAGGCTCTTTATCTAAATTGTTCATGTCCCTAGATTTTAACCCCCTCCCTCCAAATCATGAAATTCAAGTAAAGATTTTCATAACCCTTAAACAGTTTATCGCAGGTGGTATGGTGGCACTTAGAACTATTTGGTCATTCGTTATGTGAATAGTGTTTCAAATTTTTACTGATACGTAAGTCACTACGTTTCATGCCTCTGCTTCCCCTCTTCCTACTTATCTGCTCTCCGCTTCTTCATCTCCGCTTCTCCAATCTCCGCTTCTCACCTCACTGCTTCTCCGCTCCAGCTTCTCCGATCTCTGCTTCTCCAATCTCCGCTTCTCAACTCACTGCTTCTTCGCTCCAACGTCTCTGCTCCCTGCTTATCCCCATTTCTACACAAGTATATTCTTGGTTTTTGTATCCAGTGTACCAGATAACATAACAACATTATTAAGCGGTCGACTCCTCAGCGAAGAGGGTACTTGCCAGCTTTCATTGTGTAAAGTAACATATGACCCATTCAAAAGGAATTAACTCGATACCCTGTCTACAGACATGACTATAACAGCTAAACTCCTGACTGACTGTACATATTGCTGCCCAGTTGTCCAGGCCTCTCTAACTCGATGTTCTGTACCTCCACTGCATGCATCATGAGCTCTTCAATCGACTTCCCCAAACTGGTGAGCTCCTCTTTCATGTGATAGTATGCCGAGCATTTTGCATTGATATGTTCCAGTCTTTGAAGCTGCAACTGCTTTGAGCTATTCCAGTGCTGGTTGGCGTTGTTTTTTCCTGAAGAGAAAACAGTTTTAGAAGCCTTATTTGAAGCGTACCGTAAGAATATCATAGCTGAAGTACTTTTTTGACAAACATGTCCCCAGAATGGTTTTTGCTTTCATTTGAATCTCAAAAAGGAACCTCATAGATGAAAAAAGACAACTGGAGACACATGGGGGTCTAGGTAAATAGTTTGCTTGCACTAAAGGATTTCCACACGACGGAAATCTACGCTCTTTTTATAAGAATATTCTTTTAAAATGTTCGTTTTTCAGAAGCTGCCAGTTTTGCGATGTTTATTACCCAACATATCTCGTTTTTTCAAAAGCGCTGTTTCTATTTGTGTTCCTCTGTAACCATATCAGATTTGAAAAAAGAAAGAATTATTTTAGAATTTACTCAGGCTCAAAACGACACTTTCTTAAAAATATCGAGGCTGGGCAAAATTTATATTATTATTACAGAAAGCAGATTTTCTCTTCTTTTCATTGCTTACCCTTCTCTCCCAATGCTGCCCCCTCTTTTAGCTTGTGTCCTAGATCCAAAACTAAACTAGAAGTATTTCTATATGGAGACTGGGGCTCAGGCTACCCCTACTTTCAAAGCGATTCACAACGAGAATTGACCATCCATTAACCGCATCGAAATATAAAAGACCAGTCGTACTCTTCGTAATACAAACGAACTGAAGCTGAGCTAAAAGCTTGGCCCACTGTGCCCCCCCTTTCTTGACGGCCCTGAATAACAGCTCACACATTCTCCGTAAGTCCTTTAAGAATAGTAATTCCAATGGGCTAAGATAATCCCTCGACAGTTACTAGTTTATCTCAATATATCTGCATTTTCAAGCATATTAACCAGCCTCAAATAGAGGAAGAGAAATATTCCCCTTGTAGTATTTATGGTTGCATCTAAATGAACTCCCACCGTCGAATAAGCCCCTCCCTCGGATAAGCCTCACATCAAAATAAATTTATTGAAATAAGCCCCCGGGGGCTTGATCGAGGACTTACGGTAGGCGCTCTTTACAGTCTCCCACTGAAAGATGCCTGGACTTGTGATACCCTAATTTACAGTACACCGTCGTTGCCATTTTTGAGTACACCGTAGTATGTCATGGAGGAAACGCATGGAAAGGGCATGAATACACAATTCCTATCCATGAAATATGCAAGTTTTGAGAGTTTCTAGAAAACACAGAGCTCTACCAACAATTATAGAGTATATGGATATTATCAGTTAAGAAACTTTATAGTTTTTAAAATTATCTAAAAATTTAAGTTCAGACATGATAGCATCATAGTCGGGAAAAAAGTCCCATTCGTTGAGATAACATCATGCCAATACAAATAATGCTTAAGAACAAACCTTTATTTTCAACGGATTTTTTCCATTTGCGATATTTAGTCAAAGAAATCCCGCATATAATCATTGTAAACAAAAGAAATCCAACACCAGCAAGAAACATTTGAAGAGGCCTAGAAGTCCAGTCAATGAGAGTAGAAGATTTCTTTGAAGCTTGATTACCATAATTCAATGGCTGTAAGAATAGAGAAAAGAAATCATCAGGGGTACCGTGTTGCAGGTCGATGGGCTCAGCTCAACCGTGGTATACCTGTGCAAACAGGCACTGCGCAGCCATCGGGCTAACAGGGGCTATACCCCCCCTCCCGATTTATTGTGATAATAGATTGAACAATGTTTGGAAAGTTTACTCTAACGCAACTTTGAGAAGTTTGCCCTCACGGATCCCAATTAGTAGCTGTTCTTCTTGACTGCAATCCTGGACAAAAGGTTATGAGACAATTCTTTTATAAGTGATTTTCTGCGTAATTGCCCTCAAAACCAGTGGTATGCCCCTACCCCCCCTCCCCCCAATGTCAATGTTGGTGTTGGGTAATGGCAGTTGATTATGGGAGCCAGAAAACCTAAAAAATCAACATCAACATTGATATTGGGGGCAAGGGGTTAGATGTTTTTTCAATAAATGATAATTACAGAGAATGTCTCCTAACTTTTGTCCAGGATTGTAGCAACCCTTTTTTGTTCATTTTCTTGGTGTCTTGTTAAATCTATTTTTATAGTAATTGATATCTTCTCTGAATTGGACTATTTATGAAAAAATAAGTGGAAAGAAGCAAGTATTTTGTAAAAGGGGCCTTTTTCGTTTCTCAAAAAATTATCAGTCTGCCCTTTTCAGCCCATCTACTTTTAGAATGGTGCGCAGTGCCTACTTAAAGAAGTCTTTAGGGCTCAGCCTCCTTCCGCAAGCTCACATTTTGTTAAGACGATTCTATACACAGCAACTTCGTAAGGAGGTCAATTCACTACCATGATAGAAAGTCTCATATGTATTGGGATTAACATGTATTGTATTACTCTTAAAAAGGAGGTGAATTTTGAAAATTACTAACCTTAAACGGTACAATTGAGGTGGATATATCGCGAAACAGCTGATCCTTATAGAACTCCGTATACAATCTGAAACAACTGTCCATCCATATACCCTTGTTGCGCAGCAACAGTCCATATGTGAAGACATACTCAATAACATCAGCTAAGAGGAATTTCTCGAACGATTTTTGATAGTAGCCAGCCACGTATGTATCCAGTAATAACCCCTCTGTTTCACCTCTTTGTAGTACTTGCGGCAATTCAATGATTTCTGAATAATCTTTAATAAAATTTAAATTTTAGGATAAATGGTATTTCAAAGCGTGAATGTAGACTTTAGGCCTACTGTAAGAGGTAGGGGCGTCGAGAGTATTTCAAGCTGGGGGAGGGTAAGAATGGGCACTTTGTGTCGCATTTGAGGAGGCAAAGATCTAAAAAAGGGGCATATTTCCTTGGTATCCCAATATTTGTGAAGGGAGCTAGCTTTCTTCTACTTCAAGGTTATCAAGGGTAGTTAGGAGAAGCTTCCTTTGGAGCATTTTAGTGCATCATCGACAATGAAACTCAAAAATCAATCTCTATAAACGAATTTTATAAACAAATATTTGAACAGAATAAAGGCAGTTCAGCTTACAATTGCAGTTATCACTAAATGTTTGATTAGAGACGAAATTATATCTTAAATAACTAAAAGTTGTATGAAATGTCCAATGAGGAGTCCCTTTTCAAATGACATTTAGTGCTGCCATTGATTTTATGAGATAGTGCAAAATGGTATTATATCGGTAACAACTGGCACTTTTTCATACTCTTAGATGTTAGGTAAGAGTAGGACAATTATTAAGAAGGCTAGAATGATATGTTCTCTATTCTTAGAAGGAGCTTCAATTCAGTCTCTTTAAAGACATCCTTAAAGTAGATCAAATCATTTCTACAAACTGTATTCTAGCTAATTGACAAATCAATATTTTCTTAATTTGAAATTATCTAAAACTTTCTTTTAAAAAGAGTAGGATCCAAAAGCCTTCCATAATCCTGATCTATGTTTTACAGACATAAAGAAATCAGCCCTTTTAGGTACTGAACGAAGGTTCCCTAAAGGATCAGTAGGCTTTCATTAGACACTCACCGACTGGAATGGCATTCTTCTTTATTGCGATGCTGGCTTCTTTGCTTTCCGATATTACTGCCACCTATGAGACGCAAAAAATATCGAATAGCATTAATTATTTTAGTTGCCAATAATGATATTGATATTGATAACTTTATTTCTAATTCATTTCACGCCAATTGGATAAGATTAAAATGTTTGAATACGATTAATTTAATGATAACGATACGTCTAAGAACATTTTAAGAACAATCTAATCGAAATATTTATACAAACAAAGTCTCGGTTGAATAAAATATATCCTACGGACATAGTGTTTTTAACCAAAGCTTCAATTTCCTTATCATGTCTAAAAGCGAAAAGAAGACTGGGACTAGTCCTTTCTTAATTATTCAATCTTGATCCTAAAAAATGTCTTAGATACCTTAAATACGTTTCGTGCTAAACAGCAATGAATCACAAATGTAGTTTGATCTCGAAATCATCGTCACTTTAAACTCGTGTTATGTATCACTTTGAGCATCACGATTCACGATGACAATGTTTTGTTATCTTCAATTGTTTAGCATTTTCAATTTGTCTCAAAAGTCACTGTATAGACCAGACCTTTCTTTAAAGATCAGTGTAAAAACTCTGCCGAAAGTTGCTGAATTCTCCATGAATGAGAGTTGTTGCTAACAAAAAGGAAACTGATTGAAAATCTTGCATTATATTTTTACCGGGGTCTCCCCCCTTGTAATGCTAATGAACTAATAATAGAGTACCGAAGTGTGACGTCATTCAAAAATCTTTTAGAGTTTCTTAAATTTGACCACATATTCTGAAAGAATAGCATAAAATCCCCCTCAATATGCAAAATCAGTTAGATATGTTCAAATTGAGCGAGATGTGGCCAATGAAAGATTTCAAGTTTGCTAACGTATTACTTTTATTCTGGCCTGGTTCATAAGTCATGAACCAAGACCAAATTACAAAAGCTTGAAGGGGCAAGCGCCTGTGCTGAAGTGGCCATATCTCAGCAAATTGGCTACTTTTTCAACTGATTTTGCACATATAGAGGCATTTCATGATGCTCTTTCAGGTTATGGGATCAAAATTCAAACATTCTAAAACTATATTTTTGTGACGTCACCACATCGATACTCTATAGCATTAAGAAACATTTTTAGAGTGAAAGGGGAAGAGAGAGCAGGGCAATTGGAAATATGTCCTTTGAAAATGTATCACGTTTTCCCCTTTTTTTAGGTTTCCATCAAAATGAGATTTCTTGGTTAACAAAAACCATTCTAATGCACTTTACCGGACATGACGCCACGAAATTGAGCCTGGGGCAGGGATGGCGCCGGGTGCTTGGGGGGGGGGGCAGGAGTCCCCCCAAAAATTCATTGAGCCCTTCCCGTCGGCACTTCAATTTATGAAAAATTTTAAGCAATGTCGGCACTTTCATAACTTCCACTTCGTGATTTTTTAAATTTTTTTTCAGCCCCCCCCCCCCAGCATTTCTTTTCTGGCGCCATCCATGACCTGGGGAAATCAAGAATCAAATTCCATGGCATAAGAGGACCCACCATGGTTGGGTCCGATGTGCAAGAATTTTATTGAAATCAAGCTTTCAAGAATTTGTAAAAATGCATCTCCAAGACTAAAATTTAAGAAAATACTATACCGCTCAGAACATAAAATTCGACGTTTTTCTCAGAAAAACATTGATTATTGATTTTTAGGAAACACTCGGGAGTGGAGGAGACATGCTGAAACTCTATTGACCGACGTTTGGAAAAGAAAGAAAGGATGACTTTCGGCTCAGAGTGCACATCGGTGCGATTAACAAAAAGCTGTTATATTTAATGAGAGGATTTTACGTCCTGAACAGAAATGTGCATCTTCTTTATATCAGGTAAGTTCAATAGGCCAATTTTACGCATCGAAAATGCAGACATTGCTGTGATACACAAAGCTATCTACTGAATTCATGCAAATAAAAGACAAATAACAGAAATAAACCTAGGTAGATATGTTAATAAATAGATCAAATAAAATCAGGCAGTTTATAAATAGTTTGTTCCATTTTTATTTTACACTCTAATTCAGAAATAATAAAAAGAAACGACGAAAAATTTCTATTTCTGAAAGGGTCCAGCCCCTCAGCCCCCCCCCCTCCTTGTGGCGCCGTGCCTGTTTAGAGTATATAGTATATTGATCGGATAAAAAGTAGTATGAATATATAAACAAAAGGGTGTTTTTAAAATAATTGCAATTCTTCTCGTTGTTTTCCTTGCCTTAAACTTTTGCACAAGACTGTGGACTGTATATCATCAAACTGTAATGCTAACCTTTGCCCCTGCAAGTGCTATATCATTAGACATTACAGCTGTAATGAGGCCAGATGTGATCGAGGCTGTGAACATTGATAATATGACCGTTCCAAACAAAATCCAGATTATAGCGATAATGCGACCCAACACTGTCTTTGGGGTCAAGTCTCCGTACCTTTGGACAAAAAAGAAAAAAAATTAATCAACCTTCAGATTCTGAGACATCAAAGAAGCAAAAAGCAAAAATCAGTTATCAACTAAATAAGATCAATAATTTTTCAATGAAATGAAGCAGCAAACAATTTTTGTGAGTAGGGAATGGGAACTATTAAAGTTTATCTCGGAATTCTATTTGTGTTGCCTCTATCAACTAAATTGCTTAAGAGATCTAACCCCCTGGTCGTTTGTGTTACAATAAGAATTTTGTCAGTTGTAATCTCTGGGCAAAAAGGGGGGGAGAGGGTCCTCTACAAGCTTTGATATAAAACTAAACAAGGGAAGGGCATTGCAAATGCTATCTTGACCCATTTCATTTCATATGCTTTAGGAGTGGAAAGCACCGCTGATTTTCAAGGTTAAAACATATGTGATAAAACCTATGTGACAGAACCAGAAAAAATCCATTCCAAGGTATTGCCACTTAAGATATTCATGATGCCACGCCAGTCATTCCGCTTAAGACAATAAAAGGGGGTTGAGCGTCTTAAATGCCACTTATATTTCTTTAATTTCGTCTTCAAACTTCTTCACATTACATGACAAATTTTCGGCGAGGTTTGAAAAGTAACCAATCAAGAAAAATGGAAAGAAACAAATATTGGAATGAAGATGTAAGCCAAACGATTTAATACGACCAAGCAAACAGGAAATATACTTCGCCTAAAATCCAGTTTCAAAAGTCAAGGGCTCTTACCCCACTGTAGTCAGTGTGACCATTGCCCAGTAAAAGCCATGAAGAGGTCCCCTTACTGATTGAGATAAAGCATTTTTCAATCGGCTTCCCGTGCTTTTCTCGCAATAATTTTCATTACCATTCTCAGAAGAGAAGCGAGCAACTTCCTAAGAATAGACAAAATGGTTAGTTATTATATATTAAACTAAAATGTAATAGAATTAAGACGCCCCAGGAAAGAATCACCTGAGGGGAAACAATCTCCTTCCATGTATATCAAATACGGTGAATCATAACCAAAAACAGTTTGTAGAATTCATAAAAAATATTTTGAAGTCGTAAGTCTATAAATAGTCGACTCTCAATAAACAGATTCCCTATATACATTAGATTCGCACTCATAAGATTAATCTGGCTATGATTTGTTCAGCAATTGTAAACTTTAAAGTCAATTTTCTTCCATATATCTTAGGCTACTTTACGATGAAACATTGATTTAGTAGTCATTAATAGGGAAATACTTGGTCTCCTTCCTAAAGTGGTGTCGGGTTTTTGGAGGCTACTTCTGGTAAGCGATAAAACTTGGAGGAAAATTAGCCTCAGCTATGCGCAGGCAAGGCCGCCGAGAAAAGTTCTTGAATGCAGCCAATCTAAAGGGCGTGGTCGCAGAAATTTTCTGCTCTTTCCGCTCGCAGGGGGCCTCGTCTTTTGGTTTTGCTACAGGGCCTCCGAAGCCTCTCAGTGGCCCTGAGCGCAGGAGAACGGTTTGGATTGGAACACAGTTTATTATGGGCAAATATTTTGAGCTGTCCAATAAGATGAGGCCTACGTAGTATTGAATTTTTTTTCTCGTATTTATGGTTTAAAGGTGGGCAATTTCCTATATTTTAGAATTTGCAATTTTCGTAAGATATCCTTAAAAGGATGTTTGGAAGAAATGAAACATATGAATTGTCCAATATCATATCACAAGTTGTCAATGAGTAACAGTATTCAGCTTCCATGAAAACTACATTTCAACTTGAACACAGAGAAGAAAAGAAGAAAAGGGAAAAGTAGAAAGAGAAAGAGGGAGAAAGAGAAAAGGTTAAATATTTTTCTATGGAATTCAAGCAAAACCCACCGCAATATAGAAAGCGGTACCAATCGTAAATGCCAATAGTAACACAACCACAAGAACAGGCCATGAAGTTGCAAATGCTTTTAATGTCTCTTCTTGTGCTGAGCCTAGATTCCCATAGAAGTATGCGATACCAGGAGAATCAACTGCAATAAAGCATTAGAAGATTAACTCTAAAGATTCAAATATATTTTATAGGACGAAAAAAACTTAAGCTACAATCTAAGAATATGAACAGTTTTGAGGTGGTACAGAACTTGAAAACGGCTTTGAAAAAGGCAAACATTTCATAACATATTGGCTAAAAGCTTTTTGGTCTAACATTCCCCAGATTGTGCAAAACTCTATAATGACGACATGTTTCAGATAATTGGCAGAGCCCGGTCGTCTTTCCATCTGACAGTTTTGGAATCGATCTAAATACAAACGAAGAAAGCTGCCATTGTGTAGACAGGAGTAGTTCGTTTTCTCTCTTGGACTTCATTCGTAGTTTTTCTTTATGCGGCGCTGATTGGACATCTTTACCGGTCTTGTGCTTGCGTTTTTCTGATTGGCTTATTTCGATCCACAACTGGGTATATATATATACCATCATGCTCTTTCGGACCCTTATTCTGCTGTTTTATGCTCTGAGGACTGTCAGACGAAAAAGCTTTTAGCCAATATGTTATAAACGTTTGCTTTTTTCAAAGCTATTTCTTTTTATGTATAGAGGTTTTTGCAATGCATTGCAACCCTTTGTGTAAAAGGCCAAAGGTTTCCTTGATTAAACATAACTGCTTAAAAGCTTGGTAAGCTAGGATTTTGCCGATGGAAATATTTTTGCCAATACATTTTTTCAGCAGGTTTTATTCTGTAGTGAGTATGACATCTACCAAAGAGGGTTCATCGATTCTTAGAAATGTCAGAAAAGGGAGTATTTCTTCTTGGCATCCAAGCCACCTGTTTCAAAAGAATAAGACCTGGTACTTACCTATAGATATAAATGGGCTGCCAAATTTAAATTTCTGTTTCCCGTCGCCATAAACTGGCAGATATATGTCATCTGTGCCATTTTGCAGAACAACTTGAAACTGAGTGAGGTCTGATGTGCTATTGGAGTAGATTAGATTGGTTTTATCTTCACAACACTTTTTCACCATGCTGCCAAGTATCTTTTGAAAGATACCACCAGGTCTGCCGTCAGTTGTATTGTAAATATATGGCGGAATTTGAACCCAAGACACCGACAGTGAGGCAGGACATCGCGTTCTTTCATTTGCGAATATCTATTACACGATAAGGAAAGTCGTTATTCAATAACTTTTCGACAAGTTTTATGACCTAAATATATCATATTTTCTAAACTCGAAGAGAAGAGGATTAAAAGTTGCCCCTCTTCTTGCAAGATAAAAGAACATAGGTACATAATGCTTTCTTTTATGCAGTTATTATCTTTACACCCCCAGTTATGTTCTAGTCTCTTTCAAAGCAGCACTTTTGATTCGTAGCAGTAACATGATAATAGCATTGCTATGTCCGAGGGGCAAATCACTCCCTGAAAAGCTCGTACACCTTGAGTTGAAATCCTATTGTTTAGTCTGAAAATATCTGGAAATCCTTTTGTATGGGTGGTAATATCTTATTATATTTGAAATAGTGAATTGCCTCTTGGCTCAGCGTGTCAGTTTTTTTTACCATTCAGCTGTTTTCAAGAGAGTCTTAATTTCATTATATAACAGGTTCCATTACTTTTTCTACGCTCTTCACGTAGAAAAAGATAGAAGGTATCAACAAAACAAATTTCGTGTTGGAAATGCAAAGATTTAAGCTACAAACCCTGTCTGGTATAGACATTTCATGCCACTTCATGATCCCGTTTTGAAACAACCAAATCTCCGTTTTATGTTACCTTCTCTGGTTTAAACTAAAAACACTCCCAGTGGGTTCTGGTTTTGAGTGTTCAAGCAGGTAGATGTTTACAAGATGGATAAGAATTAAAGTTAAGACCAGCATGTGGCTGTTTGCTATATTCCCGATAACTTCGATAGAAGACATGTTAAACTGGTTCCATGTGTCAGGTATTAATAAATAGCACGCTGATTGTACAGTATTGCTACAATGTCAATAATCCATTTTCTCACAAAGTGTCGTCTTAAATTTTCAATGAGACATATCTTATTAACATTACGGCTAAAGGGCTTCGAGTGACACCGTATAGCAAACCTTCTAATGACGCTGGCATAACATGACATAACACAATTGACAAGATTATATATGCTGGATTTCAAGATTTAAATGTTATATCAGCCAAAAGTAACTTGCAAAGACCTTTGTTTTCAGGTGCCAGTATTGTTATCAAGGCACACTGAATTATATCAAGATAGTAATATTCACAAAGCATAAGTAGATAAAGTGGCTGAAAATGCTGAATGCAAATAGAAAATGGCTGGGATGCTTTCGAAATTTAATCTAGGCAAAGTGGATAAGCCGTCTCAGCCTCCTTCTGCATTAGTATTCCCTGTTTATGGTACTTGCATTGAACGAATCGCACAAATGAAAAGCCACAGCCACAAGCAATTTGCCATGCATCTCAGTTAATTTCAGGTACTTTTCAATAGGTTAAGCATTATTATATTGCATAACCTATACAACTAAAGCTATTTAGAAATTCGGCAGTCCATCGATGCATTTCAGGGCCAACGCCCCAGGGGGGGGGGGGGCAGGAGGCCATAGCCTCCCTATTTTCAAACTTAACAAACAATTTAGCTGAAAATATTAATATAGATAAATCTATAAATTATAAAAAACATTTAGCCAAAGTTCAAAGTAAAACAGCATCAAAAAAATTGTTTCCCAGAACGGGGCTGGGGGTGGGTGGTTAAGAGAAAACTCTCTTCCTGGCCCCTCCAGTTTAGAATTAGCGACGGGGGCCTTGCATTTTTATTTTATTCATCAAATACAAAAGAACACCAATATCACACATCTCAAGATTGATGTGTAGAAAATGCCTTGTGTTTGGTGACATTAAAATGGTGTCAATAAAGAAGCGGCTCGTCATGAAGAGGTAAGAGGCAGGACTCATATACCCACAATCGTATTCACCAGTAAAATCAGCGAATAAAAACATCCGCATCACACATCTCAAGATTGATGTGTAGAAAATTCCTTGTGTCTTGTGACATAAAAATGGTGTCAATAAAGAAGCGGTTCGTCATGAAGAGGTAAGAGGCAGGTCTCATATACCCACAATCGTATTCAGTCAGTAAAATCAGCGAATAAAAACATCCGCATCACACATCTCAAGATTGATGTGTAGAAAATGCCTTGTGTTTGGTGACATTAAAATGGTGTCAATAAAGAAGCGGTTCGTCATGAAGAGGTAAGAGGCAGGTCTCATATACCCACAATCGTATTCAGTCAGTAAAATCAGCGAATAAAAACATCCGCATCACACATCTCAAGTTTGATGTGTAGAAAATACCCACGGGCTCTCAACGACCACAAATGTATGGCCTCCCTAAAATACACAAGCCGAACGTCCCACTTAGACCTATCTTGTCTATGATTGGCTCAGCACAACACGAACTGGCTAAGTGGCTTTCTGAAGTTTTGGACCCTGTTCTTCAAAAATATTCAAAACATTGCATCAAGGATTCTTTTACGTTCGCTGAGTTCATGCAAAACTTGAACATCGAAAACGAAACATCTTTCATGTGTTCTTTTGACATTAGTAGTCTTTTCACAAATGTTCCTTTGAGTGAGACCATCAAAATATGCGCCGACGCTTTGTACCGGAGCGAGCTTAATAGCCCACCATTCCCAGAGGAAGTATTCATTGAACTGATGGAAACTGCAACACGTTCAGTCGAATTCAGTTTTAACAATGAAATGTACCAACAAAAGGATGGTGTCGCTATGGGTAGCCCTCTGGGACCTGCCTTGGCCAATATCTTTGTTGGCTTTCATGAAGAGCGTTTGTTCGACTACGACCAAAAGCCAGGTGTCTATTTTCGGTATGTGGATGACACATATACCATTTTCAAAACAGAGGCTGAGTGTGATATTTTTCTAAAACACCTAAATAGCCTACACCCAGCCCTCCAGTTTACGTTTGAAAAGGAAGAAAGTGATTCCTTACCATTTTTAGATGTTTTGGTCGAAAAGTCTAACACTGGATTTCTTACCAGTGTATATCGCAAGCCTACTTTTACCGGTCAGTACATACGCTGGAATTCATTTTGCCCAAAACAACGCAAAGTCAACCTTGTCAAAACATTAGTACATAGGGCACTTATGATCTGCTCGAAATCTAAACTGCACACTGAACTGGAAAAACTCAAAACGATCTTCTTGGACAACGGCTATCCTGAAGACGTCATTTTATCTTATACTAAGGAGAAGATCGCAAGTTTTTCGGCTGTTCAAAAGTTTGGTCCGCAAAAGTGCCCAGTTTATTTGAAACTACCATGGATTGGTAACACTTCCTTGCGATTTGAGAGTCAAATTAGGCAAGCCATAACCAATTGTTTCTTTGCTGTCAATCCTCGGATTGTTTACAGCACTAGGAGAGCCCTTCCATCCATTCAAAAGGATTGCGTCCCTACCAAACAAAAAAGTTCCGTCATTTATGAATTTACGTGCCAGTGTGATTCTGGCTACGTAGGGCGCACAACCCAAAGATTGGGGGATAGGATAAAACAGCATGTTCCTTCCAACATACGAAACAAAACTGCCCCTCAAAGAGAACAGCCTCCTCGATCTTGTAGGTCTAGAAACACTGTTAAAACAAGTGATTCTGCCATTGGTCAACATCTTTTAGACAACCCAGATTGTGCAAAACTCTATAATGACGACATGTTTCGGATAATTGGCAGAGCCCGGTCGTCCTTTCATCTAGCAGTTTTGGAGTCAATCTACATAAAAACGAAAAAGCCGCCATTGTGTAGACAAAAGGAGTTCGTTTTCTCTCTTGGACTCCATTGGTAATTTTTCTTTAGGCTCGCGGCACTGATTGGTCAACTATACCGGTCTTGTGCTTGCGTTTTTTTGATTGGCCTATTTCGATCCACAACTGGGTATATATTTTTCCATCGTGTTTTTTCGGAACCTATTCTGACGTTTTATGCTCTGAGGAGTGTCAGACGAAAAAGCTTTAAGTATGTTGTAAAATGTTTGCTTTTTTCAAAGCCATTTTTAGAAAATGCCTTGTGTTTTGTGACATAGAAATGGTGTCAATAAAGAAGCGGTTCGTCATGAAGAGGTAAGAGGCAGGTCTCATATACCCACAATCGTATTCAGTCAGTAAAATCAGCGAATAAAAACATCCGCATCACACATCTCAAATTTGATGTGTAGAAAATGCCTTGTGTTTGGTGACATTAAAATGGTGTCAATAAAGAAGCGGTTCGTCATGAAGAGGTAAGAGGCAGGACTCATTTACCCATAATCGTATTTACCAGTAAAACCAGCGAATAAAAACATCCGCATCACACATCTCAAGATTGATGTGTAGAAAATGCCTTGTGTTTTGTGACATAGAAATGGTGTCAATAAAGAAGCGGTTCGTCATGAAGAGGTAAGAGGCAGGACTCATTTACCCACAATCGTATTCACCAGTAAAACCAGCGAATAAAAACATCCGCATCACACATCTCGAGTTTATAATTCATCCATTAAAGAGGTCTTAAGGGAATTAGCGGTATTGAAGGTATAAGTGATTAATTTACGGCATATGATGCCGAAAGGACAAGTATTTTGAGTGATGCAGAAGGACGATGCTTCAAAAGTCGCATTATTAAATAAAATGCTGATTAGATGTAATAACAAATTCCAGCTTATTTTCCCGACATTTCCTAACAATTCTGTTTCACTATTGTACACATGTGAAAAATTAGATACATATTTTAGATACAACAAATGCCCTCGGGGAAACAAGATGGAAGCCTCTCTTTTTCTTGAATTGATAGAACCTGTCATTTTGTTAAAGATACTTCTTTTTCTGTAATAAGGACCCATTTTCACAAAAAGTTAATTTCCTATCATATCATTTCGAAATCAAATTTTGCTACAATAAAATTTAATTAGTAAGCCTAATTAGAATTATCAAATCTGGTGCAGAATTAGAAAATCTTCTATAATATGTAGACAAATGGAAAGATGGGAAACATCTAAATATTCAAAACAACACTAGGTTGCGGAGATAGTAACTTCAGGACCAGAAGCAAGATGGTATGTGTGTTTTTAAGTGTTTTGGGTATAATAAGGAGGGGCTGTCTGAGGAGCACGGAAGTCTTATTAGCAGACATAGGATGTTAACATTTAGCAACATTTTATTGAAGAGACAGAAAACTGTTGACATTTGGTGATCGTATCTCAAAACTCAAAACATTTGGCATAGATTATAGCATAGTTGATTGTAGCTGTTAATTTTCGACTTAGAAGGAAACATCGTCGAAATACTGGAATCAAATTTTGCGAGCATGGCTTAGGTGTGATACTGTCGCCCTTAGTATGATAGTTTAACATTATCCTGTGATATGCGGAACAGGTTGTCGAATATTATAGCTTATGTTAAGCTGTTATCGTATTTGGAAGGTGTTGCGGTTGCCATATGGCGAACTAAGATGAACCGTGGCAGCAGTTGCTCAAAATTCACATCGAGAATATTAGGGGGTATTTTCAAGAAATGGATTATACATGATGATATCATTCATTATCAAGATTTATCTTTATTGATAACGCAGCCAGTTGGATTTCACATTGTAAGAATTTATGAATATTTCTATATCATAATATTGGGTATGATGAAGCAACAAAGTTAAATAGTTCCATATGCGTCGCTTTATTTGTTTGCTGCTGTTATTGTAAGAATGATGCGAAACATATATGTTTAACTGTATTGAGACCGGAAGGCAGGGGGAGGGGGGCTGTTTTTCACTTATTTATCAGGACTGCCCCCCTCCCCCAACAAAAAGTTGTATCTCGGTCTTTGTTGCTATTCGTGGAATATGGTGGTCTAGCTAGGTATCTTGTTAATGATAAAAGTACAATATGAAGTGTAAAGTCATTTATTTCTAGCAAAAATAGGCCGCGAAGTCCCTTACAAGGAGTTTCTGGTCTGCTAGATAGTCTTCAGCTATTGTCAGAGAGGGTAAGAGCAGGCGAAAGAAGAATAGAAAGCAGTCCTTTAAAAGACGAAGGAAAAAAAAGGATAAGAAGATAAGAGGAAAGAAAATTGAATGAAAGAAAAGATAAAGAGTAAAAAAAGAGAAGAAGAGAGCAAATAAGTGGAAATAAGTTGTTGAAGAAGAAGAAGAATATAAAAGAAATAGAAGAGAAGTAAAAGAAAATAGGCAAAGGTAAACGCGAATTAAGGAAATAGAAAACAAGGAAAGAGAATCTTTAATGATTTGGAAGAATGAAAATAAATATTTGTCTTATTGTCAATTGTACTGCTTCGCATTTTTCAACAACTTGCTTTAGCTGATTGGGAAAGTCGCCTAAAAACGTCTGAATACGCCTACCAAAATTTTTTATCAATAAACTGAATAAATGGGAGGTTTTAAAGGAATTGTTCATTATGTAGTTTGCATGTTTAGATTCATTGTTTAGTCTTTAATATTTTGTATTCTTAAGTTTGATAAGCATCGTTAGGCAATATTTTGCAATTTTTTCATGCTCACGGAAAATACGTTGATGGAAGAGGCCTATCAAAATTAGTCAATATTTGACTTGGGCAGGTGTTCAATTACACAATCCAAGAGAAGGTTTAAAATGTACCTAAAAATAATGTACTTGAAAAGAATACAGTTAAGAGGGTCATCTCTTTCTTTCATTATTTTCATTAATCCTATGTCAACCAAAAATTAAGTCAAACACACACCCATGGTCTTTATTATTTATTAGATGCTTCATTTTATTAGCCATTCTTGATGAAAGATTGAGGGCCTAAAACCTCAGGGTACAAAGAGTCGGCGTAAAACTCTGGAAAATGGCTAAGAGGACCGAAGTGAATGAGAAAGATTCTGTCTTCTCTTTTTTAGCCTGGACTAAAAATTTGATCATAAATCTGTCAACTATTTAGGTATTTGCATCAAAATATTTTACGTCAACTTGAAACCAAACTTGAAACAAAATGCTAAATTTTCTTAAATAGATCGAAAGTTCTTTATCTTTATTCTGATAACCCGTCTTTTCTTCATGGGAAACTAGACCCAAGGTTTTTCATAACAACTTATCTCCTCCAAAATCTTGGCATAAAACATACTGAAATCTGAAAGACAGGGCTAACGTTATAAATCGAGCAACAATTTTCAGTTTTGCTTCAGAGAGAAATGTTATCCAGGCAGAACAGTTAAGCAAAGCTAAACCCAATGACGAACAAACATAATATCAACATTGATCATGAATAAGCCGCAGGCATTCTTCTTTGCCTTAAGCAGCTTTATAAAATGTAGATATTTCTATCGACCCTCACTTGTTTTTAGG